AGGGCCGCTAGTCCTGGCACAGGTGCCGGCCCTGTTGGAAAAGGTGTCTGCTGCACCCATCCACGTCACCTGGTACCCGATCTCGGGCATCACCCGGATGAGCAAGTGCACCAGGGACCCTGGCTCTGGAGCGGGTGGCAGTGCCGAGCAATTGCACTCTTGTCGGGCAGGGCCCTGGCGGCCAACAGTGACCTTCAGTAAGAGCCGGCCAGGGAGGTGAAGTGCAAACAGCCGCATCCGGACCTGGACCTGGAGGCTGTACCTGGCCGGCTTCTAGGTAACCACCTGCCTGTTACCCTATTATTAACAAGGGTCCGAGGGCTGCAGGGCACAGAGCTGAGCACCTGGGCTCCGGGCTCTCCGTGAGTGGTCTGCCCATCCCACAGCCACCAGCCCGCAGCCCAGGGCCTAAATCCAGGGCCCTGGCAGTGTGGTAAGGTGTGGGGGCTGTAAGCAGCAGGCTCAGTTTCCCTATCTGTAAAATGGGATCATGAGCTCGCCTCCCTCAGGGAGTTGTTAAAGACAGGGTTTAAGAAGGGTCAAGTCTAGCATTCTAGGAGGCAGAGGCAGGAGGATCACGAGTGTGAGCCCAGCTTGGTCACTTAGTTACCTGCCTCAAAATAAAAAATTAACAAAGGCCTGGAGATGTAGCTTAGTGTGAAGGCCTAGGGTTCAATCCCCAGCACCAAAAAAAACCCAAAAAACAAATGGGAAGCACTCAACACCTCCAACCCCTGACTGCTCTGCTGTCATGTGGAGGCCAGGAAGAGGGCGGGGAGGTGGTGGACCTGGTACTGGCTGTCAGCTCTGTTCTGCAGGGCAGGCAGGGGGTCTCCACGCAGCGTGGTGGTGGGGTGTGCAGACTCAGTGGGCACGGACTTGGTGGGGGCAGAGCGGGCTGTTTCAGGAGGCCTCCTGGGCCTTCCATAGGAGAGGGTAACACTGTCCTGGGTGGCTCCTGCCAGTCTGCTGTGCATGCCACCTGGTGACCTCTGCCTGCCCTAGAAAGTACGTTCCAGCCCCCTGCTTCTCCCCTGTGCCCACCAGGGGTCCCCAAAACCCAGCCTCAAATGCCCACTCTATTGCAGGGGCTCTGTTTTGCTTTTTTGCTTGAGACTGGGTCTCACTATGTAGGTCAGGTTGGTCTTGAACTTGTGGTGATCCTCCTGCCTCAGCCTCCCACGTGCCGAGATAACAGGCATGTGCCGCCAAGCTCAGCTCTGGAGGAGCTCTTGAAGTGCTGAGAAACACCACTTAACTTTTGGAGTGAGGGCTTGTGAGAGTGGTCACCATGCCAGGCCTCCCTGACCTTGGAGACAGTTTAAGCAAATTTTCTATCTACTCTGACAATCTCCTCAGCACAGTTTCTTGCTATTTGTCCTTGGGGAAGTGAGTAGAAAGCTCAGGGCACCTTAGGAGGACACAGTTCCCTTCTGGCAGCCCCGACTGCTGAGGACAGGCGCTGTGTGGTGGTCCCGTGGTCCCTGAGGCACGGACATCGTGCCCATGGACACTGCCATCTCAGTGTCCCACAGTGCTCATGTGATGAAACAGCTCTTCCTTGGAATTTAAAAAATTACTTAAAAACTTGAAACATATCCTTGCTCTCTGGTCAGAGAGAACTAGACAGGTTTGGCTCAGAAGCTGCTGTGTCCTCCCCCCTGTGGACGGCTGGGGTCCCCTGCATTCCATCCTGCCAGATTTATCGCTAATATGTGGCCTGAGGGACAGGACCGGGAGTCACACACAGCCACTACCATTCCTGCATCCCTACAGACATTACTAATCCATCACTGTCCTCCGCCACCGGGGCTGGCATGGCCTCTCATACATAGCACCCAGCTCTGTCAGCTGCACCAGACTCGCCAGGCCCAGGAAAGACCTGTTTCCCATCACTGCCTCCAGCACGGTGGCAGGCAGCAAGCCCTAACAAACAATAAGTCCTGTGAGGCCAGGCATGGTGGTGCACGCCTGTCATCCCAGCATCTGCGAGGCTGAAGCAGGAGGATCACAAATTCTGGGTAATTTAGCAACTTACAGAGACCCTGTTTCTAGATACAAAAAAGACAAGGTGGGTGTAGCTCAGTGTGAAGGCCCTGTGCTCAACCTCCAGTACCCAAAACAGACGCCCTGGGGGATTCGTTTCGCAGTAAACCCAAAGCTGAAGTTTGGGGCACGCTAGAATTGGAGTTCTGGGGAGAGGCGGCTGGGGAGCACAGGGCAAGCGAGACCAGCATAGGTGGGCCTCCTGCTTCCCGGCACTGCGCCAGCCCGAGGGGTCCAGACTAGCTGGGTGGTGCTCAGGATGTCAGAGGGGACGCATAGGAGACACAGCCTGCACCCGCCTGTGCAACAGTGTCCTGTGTGCCCCAACCTGAGCCACTGCCCCACCATGCAGGAAAGCAGCCAGCTCTACCTCGTCCCCCGCCAGCCAGCTGTGTGGCTGTGGGTGAGCGGCCGAGCCTGCTGAGCCTCGGTTTCCCCATCCTCAATGGGATGCTAACATTAGCCTTGAGTGCTGTGCTAGACCGGACTTGGGTGTGTGCAGGGACACAGGGACGCTGTGGTGACAGCTGCTTGCATGAGGCCAGGTGCAGAGCACCCCTGACTCACGGAATGCTAGGAACTGACCTGCGGGGAGAGGCAGTGGCATGGGGCTCCTGGAGCAGGCAGGAAAGGCTGCAGAGCTGCCTGGCTCATGGCAGGACTAGGCCTTTATGCAGGCGGCTGACTCCACAGCACTTCCTCTTCCCCATTCCACTAAACTCGCCCCTACAGTGGGAGGCGCCTTCTGCACCCCCAAATAGGTCATCCCTCTGCCTGCATCTTTCCTCTTCTTCTTGGAAAACTCCTCCTCATTCTGCAAAATCCAGTCTCATGTCACCTCCTCGCAGGGCCTCCCGAGCTCTCCCGAGTAAGAACTGTGACCATCACACCTCCTGTTGGTTCATTTCCTATTAGTTGATCTGTTAGGTGGCCCCGAACCTGGCACGGCGTGTGGCGTGCTGGAGGTGACTTTCTAGGTCAGTAACTGCTTTTGGGGGCCAGGTGCACTAGGAGGGGCAGCCACTTCTCTCAGGAATGGTCTCTGGCTCTGTGGTTTCGGCCAGACTCACCAGTATGGCCCCTCCACACTGCATGTGCGGCAGGAGGCGGCCGTCAGCCTGTCCCTTTAACAATCATTCACGCATCACTCACTGAGAAAGTACTGAGCCAGGCACTGGATGGAATGAAGGATGAGCAATCAAAGCCGGAGCTGGTAAGAACAGAAGCAGCAGGTAAAAGGCCCAGGACAGTCCTGTGGAGGTGTGAAGGCTTCAGACTCTACATTTAGGTCTGCAGTATCGTGTTGATGCTGCCTGGTATGTTGCCAAACGGCCAAGAGATATCAGTCCAAGCTCAACACCCCAAGACGCCCCAAAATATGGCTGGAAATATAGTTTAACTACATTTCCCAGATTCCTTTTCAATTGGGGAGGTCATGTGACTCTACTCTGGCCAATAGAAATGGGCAGCAGTACCAACGCCACTTCCTGGTACATGCCTTAACCCCATCCAACCCTTCTGTGTTCTCTCCTTGCCCTCTGAAGAACGGGTAGGATTATAGCTTCCAAGGACCTGTAGGGTGCTCTGTGTCTCCAATCCCAGCTCAGTTCTACCCCAGGCAAGCAGCAAGATGTGTGAGAGGCAGGCATGGGGGCCTCCAGCATGGCTCCCCACAGTCTCCAGAACCCTCCAGGAAACCACTTGCTTACCAATGATGCCAAGGGAGCAGAGAGTCAGCTGCTTCCCCAGCCTGTCCATGCTCTTTTGTAAAGGTGTTTTAGGTGTCTGCAAAGGGGAGAACGGGGGCTGGTCAGACTTTGGTGCTGGCTGTGGGTGGACTCGCTTTGCAGGCCACAGCTTGTTCCTCGGTGTCAGCGACACAGACATACATGTGCACGAGGTCGCTGACCACACCCTGAGGTCTGTGTGTGCCGCTGTCTGAAAGTTACAGCCTGACGAGCAGCCTGTAATGTTCTGATGTAAAGATACATTGAAAATGTACGCTTGTGAGCCACATCTGGCTCCTTCCCACGGCCTGAGTGGGGTGGTATCGCCAGAGGCTCAGGCCCTCCCCTCCCCCCGCGCACCCCACAGCCCACTGCCATTCACCTCTTCCGTCTGCATCATCTTGAACACCTCTCCGAACTGAGACCTCTCCCCGGTTCCAATCACGACCCCCTGTGTCAGGAGAGAGGGGGCGGCGTGAAGCCTGAGCTCCCGGAGCCCATGGTGCTTGTGCCGGGAGCCCCAGGCTTACCTGGCCCTTCCCGCACTGCACCAGGGTCCCCATGAAGGCGATGTTGCTCAGGGCGCTGAGATCCCCGCCGCCCGCCATGGGGCTGTCTGTTTTGCTGCATGGCTCCACTTCTCCCGTGAAACTGGATTCATCCACTAGGAGGTCCGTGGCCTGCATGGGACAGGGACACCGTGGGATCTCCCATCTCCTCCTGAGTCAGTTTTAGAAGCCCAGACTGACATCCAGAGCCTTAACGGGCACCGTACAGCGAAGGTTGAACTCAATACCAGGGTCGGAGTTGGAGCCTTGGACGCCTCTGGGGTCGGAAAGGACTGGAATGGGTTCCCTCTTGGGAAACGTAAACATCTCACACGTTCTTCTAGTGCTATTTGACACACCTCTCAGAGCATCTGTGCTGCACCTGCCCCAGACCCCTGCCCACCCTAGGGGTCCTGTGCAGGCCCTGGGGCTCCCTAAAATCCTGCGCATGACTGAGTGCTCTGGCTGGGAGGTGGCATGAGTGTCCCCCCAGCTGAGCCCGTGCTGGCCTTTAGTCCTCACCGTGAGAGGTTAAGAGGTTTAATCTGATCATGGCACCGGAGGTTGGGTCTTTGGGAAGGGACTGGGATTAGATCCAGTTGTGAAGGTGGAGCCCTAGGGTGGAACCTTGGGGGCTTTCAAAGCAGACAGACCAGAAAGACACACTGTTCCCTGTCTGCCGGTGGGAGGTGCCCTGTGCCACCTCAGGACTCCACCAGCAAGTCCTCACCACACATGGGCCCTCACCTGGCACTGCCAGAACCATGAACTCATAAGCCTTTTCTCTTTGCCAGTTACCCAGTCTCTGCTATTATGTTACCCAGAGGAAAGCCCATGGCTGCTCTGTGACACTAAGCAGCTTGTGAAGGGACAGGAGGCAGGTGGGGCGGTGCTGAGGGTGGCTCTGGGCAGGGCCTGAAGGCTCAGCTGGGGCCACTTCCTGCTCAGGCCCCCAGGAGGCTCCTGGCCCGCACAGCTCTCACCCACGCAGTCCTGACAACTCCAGTTCAACCCTTCTTCTTTCTCTGGAAGCGGGAAGGAAAAAAAAAAGCATTGTGCCCAGCCCTCCTGGCAGCTCCAGGGCAGCCTGTGACCCCGGTTTTCCACCTCATGATAACTGGGGTGAGATGTTCCTGGCTCCGCTCTCTAGGAGTTTATGGGGTGGCTTAGTTCAAGAGCTTCGCAGACCTGCCGCAGGGAGGGGCACAGTGAAGCTCCAGGTCTTACAGTACAATCGCTGATAAAGGCTTCCCCTTGGGAACCAACAAAGCTGTCAACTGTCCAGAGGGATTGCAAAATACCCATGGGGCCGCCCACCAGCTGGTGGTGTCCAGTCATCAACACAACGGTGTGATTTAACTGAGCCTGAGCAGGGCAGGGAGAAAACCAGGGAGGTGAAGAAAGGGTTTGTTTGGGGTTTAGGAGGGCGTTTCCTGGGCTGCCACTCAGACCTGCAGTGCTGCAGGCAAGGGCCAACAGGACCATCCTCGCCCTCACCCAGGAAGTGGAGACCAACACCAGCCTTTCAGAGAGGCGAATCCCTTCTTAAGCCACACACTGGGAGATGCAGGCCAGCACCCACTCACAGGTTCCCTGGCTCCTGATATGCCTGCCATAAGTAAGCCCTCCCATTTTAGAGATGGAGGAAGTGAGGCCCACAGAGGTTAAGCAACTTGCTTGAGGTCACACGACTTTGAGTTATAGACCCACTGCTCAAACCCAAGCTCATGCTTGGTCCCAGGGTGCCAACCGCTAAGTCCCCCAGCCTCTCTTTGCCTCATACCAGCAGCTGCAGCCGACAGGAGCCCTCCTTATTGGATGCCTGCGGCTGCACACCTTCCCCTGTCTGGAGGGTCCTGCTGTGTGAGGCAGCGGAGTGACAAAGAGACCAGGGCTCAGCCTAGTAGCCTGGCCACTCCATCAAATGCACACGCCACAGATGGGTCAGACACCGAGCCCCTCGCCTGGCCCTCCTCGGCCAGTCTCCAGAGTGGCCGTGCGTGCACAGTGGGACGGCCCACTGGCCGAGCAGGTCACAAACGCCAGAAATGCAGGTCCCGGGAGCTGGCTCAGACCTTTGTCCTTCTGCATCCTCTGCAGGGACCAGTGGTCCCAGGGCCCCCAGTGGCACACCTGAGAGGAACAGGCTGGTGCCTGAACTTATCCTGTCACTGGGCGATGCATTCTCACATGTGGACGCAAGTGGACAGATTCCTCCCAGCTTGTCCATGCAGGAGAACCCACGGGCCTGGGCACTACCCTGCCAGGCTGGGACACTAAAACTCTTGGGGCCGGAGGAGCAGCTTGTCCCTGGCTGGGTGTAGTCCCACACTGTAGTCCGCTGTGGAGGCCTCTGCTGCCTCCGGGGCTCCTGGATCCGGTTCCCTCTCTGCTGTCACTGCCCCTGGTGCTGGCTGCCTGTCTTGTCCCCAGCACCCCCAGGGTCCTTTGCTACTGCAGTCCGCCGCACACTGGAAAGTCGCATGGCAGATCTGTTAGGCCTGTACAGCACCCCCGTCCTTGGGGGCCACACGCCAAATCCCCGGCAGTTTCCAATACCACAGATACCAAACCCTACAGAGGCCGTGTTTCACCTGAGCGCCACACCTGGAGGAAGTTTAACTGACACCCTCGGCACCATGAGAGGCTGGCAACGTGACCAGTGATAAAACAGACCACTTGCGACCTCGCAGGGTGGAAAGAGTGCTGGGACTGCTATTTTGGGACTGTGGTGACTGTGGACATCAGAAATCGTGGAAAATGAAGCCATGGAAGTGGGGAGCCACTGGGTCCGCACTGGGAACACGTGGCCTGTGGATGGGTCTCACCGCCTCCTGGTGGGCTTGTGCATGGACATGTGTGCACTCGTGCATGGCTCACCTGTGTGAGTCGGATGTCTGCGGGGATCCGGTCTCCAGCAGAGAGGCACACGATGTCTCCGGGAACCAGGTCCCTCGCGAGCAGGTGTCGCAGCTCCCCGTCTCTCATGCTACGTGGGTGGAGAGGGCAGAGGGACCGTGGTGAGGCCGAGCCTATGGGCTTGGACGTGGGGCGCCTCCGCAGAAAGGCATTTATTTCCCTTACAGCCTCATTCTTCAAACTCATGCAACCTAAATGTGTCTTCTGGGAGTCTGGGGAACGAGGCAACGGCCTCTGTTCGTGCCTGTGGCAGGCCCCTGCTGTGTAGAGGTGTCGCAGGGCCAGCTCCATGGCTGGGAGGCCCGCAGGCTCTGCTCTCGGGGAGCCCATGGCTTAACCTGGAGGCTCAGGGGACCCTGGGGGCTGGGACCACCCGCACGGGCTGAGAGACGCGCCACAGTGCTCTGGCTCTGGCTCTGTCCGGGCCCCACAGAGGGGCACCTCGCCCCTCCCTCTGAAGACAACAGAGCCTTCCCCACCACCTGGGATCCAGGCCTCAGGCTCCACAGCCCTTCCTGCTGACAGGGTCCCTGCAGACTTGGTGGGTGAAGGAGACATTTCCTTCTTCCTTGTTCACGGAATCTGATCCTGCTTGGGCGTCTATTCTTCTTCCTCAGCCAGGTGCCCCAGGGGGTGGTTGGTCACACGTGGCTTGGATCATGGAAGAGGTCCCAAATCCTGCCTGGGACTGGCATGGGCACTGGCAGGTCAACCCATCCTGGCTTAGGAGGCTTGAGGCAATGCTGGCTGGGCACTCATGAGTGAGGGTTCCTTACTCTACATGCACAGGTGTGCACACACACACATACATGCACACATGTATGTACATACCCACACAGTCTCTTCTCTACGACTTCTTGTGTTTGGCTGTGATGCCTGGAGCTATGGCAGCCACCGTGGGACACCAAGAGGAGCCAGGCAGACAGCCAAGCAGAGCAGCAGGAGGAGGCAGAGGAAAGGGTGCCACAGGAAGGAACCAACCCAGACCCCCCTCACAGCTCTCACACTTTCCTCACGGTTTGCACAACTGAGTTTTTGGACCCCAGTGGCACCTGATGGCAAGACACCTGTGGTTCCTCCCGCTCCTCCAATGGCTTCTATGAACCAGGCCTTGACTTAAACATCAACTCCTCCTCCCTCAGTGGGTCAGGGCAGGCTGAGAGCAGGCTGTGTAGACGCCTCCCCATCCCGTCCTGGTCACTGCCGTCCCCCTGTGCTTGTTGGTCCCGTGTGTGAGTGGCTGTGGGCTCCGATAGGTCTGCTGTGCTCATTAGCTGCCCCCATCCAAGGCAGAGCCTCCCCCCGCCGGGGCACACAGTAGGTGCCCCTTAAGTGTTGCCATGCAAGAAGGCCATGCATGGTAGTGCGCCCCCTGCTGGCGAGAGGGTCTGGGGGGTCTCAGTGCAGGGGCTCCACCTGGCTGCAGCCCCTGCCGACCTCGAAAATCAAATGTGTTCAGAAGTGGCCTCTGGGGACATCAATAACGCAGACTGTGCACCTGAGAGGCCAAGGCGTGGTGTTTAAACTGAAGACTGGCCCATCAGGTCACACACATCATTTGTGCCTCCCTCCGGTCCTCGGTTCATGTCCAGGGCCGATTGCCCACAGCCTCGATCATTGCCCGTCAGTCAAGCCCGGTTTCCACGGCCCTGGTGGCCCTTCAGGAAATCCCCCACCCTTCCCATCAGCCCCTCTCCGCCTCTGGCCTGGCCTGTTGCCTTCTCTGCTGTTTCCGTCTGTGACTCTTTCTCCCTTGGACACAAACACAATGCGCTCCTGGGCCCGGGCGCATATTTCGATTCAGATTCACCTTTGTGTTGTTTTTGTTTCTGCGGTGCTGGGGAAGGACCCCAGGGCCTTGTGCATGCTAGGCCGGAGCCCCCCACTGCGGACGGCTGGCCCATTGTGAACTAGAATTAAATGGAGAGCCCAGTTCCTCCGCGTCCACACCTGGCTGTGACCTCTCGCCGCAGGGGTACATCACAGACACTTCTGGACGTTTCTGTGGCACCACATGCACTGTTGGGCACTCTGTCTTTCCTTTTCCTCCTTTTACACATTTTCAGTAAGAGCTGTGTGACAGCAAAGGGCACAGCAGCCACGTCAGGCCAGCAGGAGGCCACCGTGCTGGGCCTGTTCACATTGCCACTCCTGAGCCACCCCGGAGACCCAGCGAACCCTCAGGCCAGCCCCCCTGGAGCAAGTGTACATAGTTGTGCCTCTCGTTTCTTCCCAAAGCTGTGCCCTCCATCCACGCCTCTGTGCTGGGTACCTGAGAGATCCATGAGAGAACAGAGAGGCTGAGCTGCCTGTCCCAGGACACACAGCAACTAGTGACAGCACAGGGGCACCGCATTTGTCAAGCACCTGCCTGGGCATCGGCCCCGACTCACCAGGTGCACTCCGGGGGGACCAGCTTGGTCAGCTCCTCCAGAGACTTCTCCGAGCGGTACTCCTGGGGGAGGCACAGCACACATGCTGGTTGGGGGACCCGTGAACCCGTCACATCCAGCTCACCCCGACAGGCCCTCTGTAAGTACACACCTGGATGAAGGCGACAGTGACCACGATGAGCACGGCCTGGAGGGAGACCGGGGGTGGGGGGAAGAGGTGAGGCCAGTGGCCGGGCCGGAGCAGTGTGTGCCGGGCAGCTGGACAGTGACATTCTGCTCACCCTGTCTGCCTTTCCTTTTGCAAAGTAAGTGCACTGTGTGAAGGTGAGAAACCACACTTCCCAAGCAAGCAGAGAAATCGCACCGAATTCCACCACCCAGAGCTCACACTCTGGGGAGCCCTTTGGATTTCTCTGAAACGGCATCGTGTCGGGGAAGCCTCTTTTTCAAGGAGAACATCACACCGCACCTGCAGATGCGAATCTGACCCTGGCCTTTTAGACGGCAGCAGCCACATCTGCTGTGTGGCCGGCTGCCTCTGAGTTTTGAAAGTGAAACTTAAAGAAGTGGGAAAGACAGCCGTAGAGAGGGCTGCCGGACCAGGGAGCGAAGGCCTGGGGCTGCAGGTCCACTTCCGGGACGGATCAGAGGCAGGGTGGTCCCCAGGGAAGGGAGGAGTGGGTGTCTGGGGCGATGCCCGTGTTTGGAACCCGGCAGAGGCAGTGCGCACCCAGTATTGTGCGTGTACAAGATTCCACCAGGTTGCTCACTTTCAAATGGTTGCTATTTTATGTGAATTTCACAGAACTACATTTTTTCAAAAAGGTGCACAGCAGCTCTCTCTGGACAATGGACATACGCCGGCCGCTCTCGTCACAGAAACATGCAGGACCTGGGACCGGCACCCCCATCTGGGGCAGGGGAGGCACCTGCTGCGACTTCCTGCCGGGCGAGAGACGCTGAGAGACACTGACCATCGGAGCCCCGCAAACACCGTGCTGCCGGGTGGGCGCATGCGCAGTGTGCCTCTTTCTGCTTTCCCTCTGCCGCCGATTCCCTTTTCCCCGCCGGCGCCCCTGCCCTGCTCACCGTGGTGATGCTGACCGCGTCCTCGTACTGCTTGGTGAGCACACTCACCGCGGCTGAGCCCAGCAGCAGCAGGATCAGGGGGTTCTTGAACTGAAAGACACAGGTGGGCACTCCGTCCCGAGACCACCCTGGGTGTCCCCCCCAAAGCAGCATGACCCGCGTCTTCACGCAGGGTGGGCTTTCAGGCCACCGGTGCATGACCAGGGTGTGGAAGGACGCCAACACCCCACCGCCAGTGACCAGCCCTGGCCCTGAGCTCTTGGTCTCTTTCGCCGCATGTCCACGATGCTCTATGACTGTCCTCTCTCACCACACCACGTCAAAATCCCACGCACCGCAATCAGCCCAGCTTGCACACTGACCTGTGTGCAAGGATTCCCCACTAGAGAGAAACTGCTCCCAAAACCTCCCAGAAAGCACTAATTGTTTTATGTATCTGTCCCTTGATTGATACAGGTATTTCATGGCTGCTCATGTTACAGAGAATTAAAAGGAAGCGCAGACACATAGAAACAGAATCAGAGAGAATAGAGCAAAGATCAGGACCAGGGAAGAGTTCAAGTACCAACAACCAAGTCACGCTTTTCAGCTGGTCTATGCATTGGGCTCTGAGCTTCCCAGCAGCCAAGGCACAAAGGGAAATGCTAACATCCTTATGATCTGTGCTGCTCATGAGAAGAGCTTCACCCCCACACCAGTGTGATGCACAAAGGACTTCACTCCACCCCACCCCAGGACTTCCATGTCCCAGCTCTGTGGCACGAGAGACAAGGCAGCAGCCCTGAGTTTACCACAGCAACTATTTTGACACTGCAACACCGAGCAGAGCAAAGGCATCTGACTTTCTCACCATGATGTTTTTGTGGCTCTATCAAACCGTCTCTCTGGACTAGATGACCTGCCCAAGGACAAGGACTGTATCTGCCTGGGGTCCTCAGTCCTCTCGGGACCAGATCTGCATCTGACTGTATGGTGTGGTGGGCAGGGGCTCAGGATTGCAGTGTTACTGCTCTGCTGAGCCGCCGCAGGCCACCCCCAGCCTCTCCTGGCTGTTGGGACACGCGGCAGTGAGCCCGGGGCCAGCAGAGTCCCACTCAGTGATCGGTAGCCTCAGGAAGGCCAATGTGTTAGAGAAGGCCCTCAGGAAACACTGGCAGAAGGAGGGAGGGAGCCGCTGAACTCACAGCAAACGGCCCTCGGTCAGAGCTGGAGAGGAAGGTTCCAGTCCCCCCTGGCACACGGCACTGAAGCCTTGGGTGGGGATGGCTGGGCAAGACAGCGGGTGAGCCTCTCGCCGCAACCTGGGCCCTGCTAAAAGTGCCCAAGGCAGGCTCAGCCAAGGAAGCCACAGCCTCCTCCACAAGGACCCCGTCTTCAGTGCGCAGATGAAACCCTGTGGACCTTCAGAAGCCAGTTAAGGGCCAGAGCACTGGGTGGGCTTTGTTCACACCCTGAGCCCAAGAAAGCAGCCCGAAAGAGCGCTGTGGGGAACACGGACTGCTGATGCAGGTGCTGCTGCTGATTTTTGCTGGGCGAGTGAGCGCCCTCGGCTTGAAAAGCTGACTGGCTCCAGGGTCTGTGCTGCTGCAGCCGGGTTCTAAACCTCCACCTTGCGCTCTTAGCCGCTCTGTACATTCCCACGCGGGGCAGAGCTGGCAGAGGGAGCAAGGCCAGCCTCAGTCAGCTCTTGACGTGGGCTGAGCACCTCCTTCCTAGGTGAAACTCACGACAGTGGGTATTTACCATTCTCATTTTCTAGTCAGAAAAACTGAGGCCCAGCAGAGTGTGACCATGTCCTCAGTGTCTCCAAGCCTGCGACTGAGCCTTGGCTCGGGCACTCTGATTCTAATCCACGCCTCCCTCCATTCTGCCCTGTGAACAGCCGGCCACGGAACCACAGCGCCTGGCACACACAGGAAGGGGCACGAGTGCAGACAGGACTTCTGCGCTCAGCAGCTCCTGGGCCTCCTGCAGGGACCTCTGCAGGTACAGCCCCGAACAGACAGGGAGGAGATGAGGAACAGGTCTGTGGCTCACAAGAAGCCCAAGATTTCATCCCTGGCATGTGACTTTGGGCTCAGGTTGCCAGGAAAAATACAGACAGGACGTGCGGCTAAGTTTGAATTTTAGTTTGACAAGGACTGCTTTTTTTTTTTTTTTAAAACGTCTGCTGCAGTAGTTGAAAATGCTTGCACTTAAAAATTACCCCTTGCTTATTGACCTGAAATTCTGATTTCACAGGGGACCCTATCTGTATTCACTGTTACCCCACACACCCTGGGACAGTGTTTCCGTGTTTCTCATCTTTGCTCTCCCCGATCACCCGAGGATGAGGAGGACGGTTCGGTAAGCGAAGGCTACTTATTTTCTCACTGTCTACAAGGTCACCAGCATCCCTCGTGGTGGCTGCCTGGCGCCTCCTCCTGCTCCTCAGAGCAGCCTGGAGGAGGAAGGAGACTTCTTATCTTGTAGCACACCCGCCCCAACCCTGGGCGGGACCCGTCCAAAGACACTCTCAATCAATACTGGAAGAGTCAGTGGCTGCCCTGCCCTTCCTGGCTAAACCTCATTAAGCGGAGGAGGGTAGCGGCAGTCCCACCTGATCCAGGTACTTCTTCCACACAGGTTCCGTGTTGCCAGCGACAAACTCGTTCCAGCCGTGAACCAGCCTGCGCTGTGTCACTGCGAACTCGGACAGGCCACTGTCCAGGTCCACCTGGAAGGAGACAGCACAGCACCTGCTCACCGACGGACGCAGCAGGGATGGAGGGGCCCAAGGCGGCCCCCACCCTACAGCCATGGCTGCAGAGATGGACTAGGAAACTGGTCTTGTCCCCAGAGGACCCCAGAGGATGGGCGGAAAGAGGATACAACCATACGGCCCCATTCTTTTTCCGTAAGGCCACACAGACACCTAACAGTCACAGCATTGTTTAGCCCTGCACACAAGCTCCAGCAAATGGAAGTAGAGTATGGAATCTCAGAAGTCCAAATGCACACCTTCGTCTTAATTCAAAACAAAACAAAACTCGGGAATGTAAATGGTGCAGCTACTGGAATTGGTAAGCAGTCAGCACAAGAAAACCGTTGGGCAGTTCCTTTAAAACTAGGCACCAAATTACAAGGTGAGCCTGGCGTGGTGGTGCATGCCTAGAATCCCAGCACTTGGGAGGCTGAGGCAGGAGGATCACAGTGAATTTAAGGCCAGCCTGAACTACATTGTGAGACCCTATCTTAAAAAACCAAAAAAGGAAAAAAGGAAAAAAGTTGCCAGGAAACCAGCCATTCCATTGCTGGGATCACATGCCCAAAAGGACCGGAAGCAGGTCTCATAGAGACACTTGCACACCCGCTCACTACAGCCAAAGCTGGAAGCAACCCGAGTCCGCTGACGGGTGAAGGGATGAACACTGGTACACAGGCACCGGGAGATACCAGCCAGCTGGCAGGGCACTGCGGTGCATGCTGGGCCTCTCAGCCCAGCTCCTGGGGAGGCTAGGATGGAGGGGCTGTAAGTTAGAGGTCCTCTCTCCAGGGAAAAAGTAAAAAGGGCTAGGGACGTAGCTCGGAGGTAGAGCACCCCTGGGCACGATCCCCACTCCCCGACAGTGGGTGGTAACCCCACTATCACCAAAAAAGCAAAAAAAAAGGAAATTCAGAACCTGCTATACCCTGAGGATGGGTGTGAGCGAACTGAGGCAAAGCAGTCCTAGGAGAAAAGCTGCAGGGCTCGTTTCTGTGAGGGGCACAGAACAGTGAGCTTCGAAGGGACAGGAAGCAAACGGTGGGGCCGGAGGGGTGCAGGGAGGGCCATGGGGAGCACTGAGAGAGAACCGAGTTTCACCTCTGCGGGATGGGAACGCAGTTCGGGAGACGGACAGGGTGACGGTGCACAGCGGGGCGGAGTTCTTCACACTACTAAAACGCACGCTCGGAGAGGGTCAGGATGCTAACACATGTGCGTTTACCATCATCTGAACTGTCTTAAAACGGAGAAAAGGCCTGCCCTTTAGAGCCCAGAGCGGCTGTGCTGGACACTGCTGGACATTGCTCCAAGCCCCACACAGCCACTTCACCAAATGGAGCCAGAGCCAGAGGCAGTGATAACGTAGGTTTCTTTGACACAGGTCAATGAGAAAGCTGTCTCCGGTGGTGGAGGCGACAGAGAAAGCTGAACAGATTCGTACATTCTTTTGAATAAGGAGCAAAAACCCAGCTACTTTGGAGGAAAAACTCCAGGCAGGCGGTAAAACCTCCCTCCCCTCTGCCAAGTATGGATCCACAGGGCTCGAGACCGCCATGGACGCCCAGGAGCAGGCGGCCTCAGGCACCCTCTGCTGGGCTCCTGGACCCTGGCGCCCATGCCCGACCATCGCTAGACTTTATTAACATCCCCAGAGCGCCGTGGCTGGAGTGTGTATGTCACTGTGCTTGCCAAGTTTTCTAAACAAGAAAACGAGAGACAGAAAGCAAGCTCAGTCCTGCAGCCCCGGAGGGTGCTTCCTGGGACAGGGCAGCTTTTCTGTCTCCACTGACTGGACTGCAAACTTCCCTGAGACACCGGGAGAAGAATCCGGTTTTAATGACTGGCAGTGCTGTGGGTTGTGAAAGCTGACGGTGAGGGCCGCAGGGCAGCGGGGCTGTGCCTGTCGCCCCTGGATCTCCCCACAGAGGGGCTGTGTGGGCTGCATGCGGGTACCTGGATCTCAGGAGGGCCCCGGGGGCTGCTCGGGGACAAAGCCACTAAGGAGATGGATGCCCATCCACATCAGGACTGGTTAGCACTGTTAACCGGCTAAACCAGTGTAGTTTTCAGGGCCTTGTGCTGCCTGCTCTTAAGCTAGAAACTCGGCTCCTTTGGCATCGGGGCAAATTCAGTTCTTACAGAAAGGGCCTTCGCCAGGTCCTCTTTGTGGCATTTGCACGCTTCCTTGGGTGGCAGAGCAGAGACCGTCTTCTCCTTCTCGATGGCCTTCAGCTGGTGCTGCCCGTCGATCTGCAGGAAGAGCAGGATGCAGGTGTAAAGTGCCGGGCGCACAGCCCCAAGTGCCACGCACTGACCCACGAAGGGACGCCCCCCACGGTCACCCCGCTGTCACCACAGTCTGTTTGCTAGGGAGTTGGAGAAATGGTGACGTGCATGTTTCTCCCTCCACACCCGACCTCCCTGTTCAGGGCTGGTACTGAGAGTCCCACCCGGTGCTACGTGTGTGATGCTGGCTCAGTTCCTGGGGCTTGGAATCCACTGCGGAGTAGATCACGACTCATTTATCCACTCGACTGTTGACCGGCACTCGGGCTGTGCCCACTCAGCAATTACTCATGTGGCTGGGGTTTTTTCTGTTTGTCTTTGAGACAGGGTCTTGCTATGTAGTTCAGGCTGGCCTTGAGCTCACAATGATTCTCCTGCCCCACACTCCTGAGTGCTGGGATTACAAGCATGAACTACCACATCCGACCTGATGTGGCTGTTTTTAAAGTAAACTTCTTTAATAAAAACTGGACCTTGCAACACTGATCCGGCAGAATGACAAGCGACTCATTTAGAACCCTGAACTTCCCTGGCTGTAGGTCAAGTATCCATGAAATTTTAGACAGTGCCTCCTACTGATCATAGGGGGTACTACAGCCCAGTTATACGAGGCATTTTAAATAACACAAGGAAAGGGACATGGGAAGGAGCCGAGCTCTGAGAGACTCAGGACCTGCACAGAGAGCCACAGGTGGCAAGAAAGTCACATGAAGCACCTCGGAGGCTCTGACAATGGGGGAACTTCAGTGCCAGGACATGTGGGGCATTCCTTACACTCTTCCTAGTATTCTGATACCCAGTACTCGATAACCATCTTTTCCTTTCCCAGCAGGTTACAAGGAAGTGGGAAGGAGGAAAGCAAAAGACACCAACTAACTTCTTCCTTAAGTTAAAATAAAGATCATAACTTCCTCTCCTCCTCCTCACTGGTCACTTCTTCCGCCAAGTTGGGGGCAATTCTACATAATTTTGGGGAAAAATTATTTCACAATTAGATTATGATTAAGCCTAGTTCTCCTGCCTGCAGTCCAGCTCTGGCATGTTGGGACCTAACTGCCTTTTTGCCTCCAGTCTCAGCTAAAACCTCGATGGTCTCATGATGCTGTGACACTCCAGGGCAGGACCGCATCAGCTGAAGACATCCTGGTTCCTTGAGAACCCAGTGGTAGTAAGAGAAAGGATTCACCCGGGGAGGGACAAATTCCTTATCACCTTAATCCTTCCACCTACTGTTGTAAGAATGCTCTCCTTACAGCCTTCCTCAAGACAAAAACCTCATAGCACTGGGGACGTAGCTCAGTGGTTCAGCCGCCTGCCTCACAAGTGCAAGGTCCCAAGTTTGATCCCCGGTACCCAAACAAAATAAACCATAAGAACCTCATGACTTAAGATCCTCATCAGCATAAGATCTGCATGACGTAGGATTGAGCCCTGAGTCACCCGATTACGCCCTCCATTTACCATGTGCACCACAATAAATACTGGCCGAGTCCTTGTCTTTGCCCACTCTGAGGCACTGACTGCCCGGCCCCCCATGTACTCTGAAGTTACACAGATCTCTGTTGTCTTCTTTGTCTTTAGTCCTTGCCGTCCCCCCTTTCTAAGCAGTCAAAGAATCGATGCCCTCCGATACCCATCCCAGCCCCAGCTATCACCCAAATGCCAGGTTTGAGGAGCTGCTGAGCCCATGCGCTTCCTGGGGCAGCTTCTTGCTGTGTCCAAGACCTAGGAGCACACAGGACAGCACGGTCTGCTCGCTGGCTCTTCCATCCGCCCCGAGTTTCCCCTGAGTCAACACTGCATTCTTTGTGAGTTCACTTTAACAACAAATTGTGTATCACACAATGAGTACCCCCAAGACCTAGTCCCCTGGGCCCGGCGCAGGTCCTCGCTCCGCTGTGCCCGCAGCAGCCTGGGTCCCAGAGCCCAGCCCCACCCTTCTCTGCCTCGCCGTTTCTTTCTGGCCACGATCACACTGGACTCACTTTTATGCAGCACCCAAGGGACTCTCCACACCCGCACGTCCCTGTGCCTGGAATCACTCGCACAGGTTCAACCGTTCTTGGGACAGAGCCACCTCCCCGTGACGTGGCGACAGTGATCTCACCTCACGCCGCTTGCCCTGTGCAGCTGCTCCCCGGCCCAGCAACTGATGGCTGGGTTTGTTCCCTAGGACTTAATGATGTTGTGAATGTCACATGCTCTGTGATCTTTTGTGTCTTTGCACCTCCTTGGTGACCCCAAAGTACAGTTCATCTGCAACAAGCAGACTCAGCACGCAAGTCAGGGCTGGCGGTGGGGCGCGGGGCCTCCTGAACCCCGAGAAAGCAGGTAGTGACACAGGGACTCCTTGGAGAAGCTTCCCCAAGCAAAAGCAGGCTGTTTTACCTCCCAGAAGCTTCCAAGAGGGCAGATGGGGCCCTGATGACAGAGGAGTTGCTGCACTTGGCCAGTGCTCTCCTCTACAGCCTGCCCAGGGCCTCGCTCTGTCACCCCGCACACAGGCAGGAAGGGACTCCGGGACTCTGTGCTGTTACGGGGCTTATGCTGACCTGCATTTCTCCAACACAATTCCTAAATCCCACCACGTGCCTCAGTTTCCCCCTCTGGATGGGGGACAATAATAGCAAGGACTCTGCAGGGCTGCTGTGGGATACAGGAGGTCAACGAACAGGAAGCCCCAAGCACAGGAGGACCGGGGGGGACACATGTGAGGGTCCTCATTTTGGGTGCCCAGAGAACACGGGGGTCAGGGGCCTGAACAGACTGTCAGGATTAGCAACCAAGAACACGCAGCACCCAGGGCCCGGGAACGCCAGATTAGCAGCCTGTAAACTCAGTGTCCATGGGCAACAGATGAGGGACAGGCCGAGCACACAACGGGATTAGTCCTCAGCCATCTGCAGCACAGCTGGCACTGACACCAGGTACGAGCAAGGGCCACTTACACCAGGTGGTGAGGCCCCATCTCCTTTCCAAGATTTCTAGGACAGTCTTTCCCTGGGCAGAGATCTGTGGATTGTCCTGTTTGCCTCCATCCAGTGGTTCTGAGTACAGTCCTTAGAGTAGCATTGCACAGAGCTTACAAGAAATGCAGGGTTGGGCTGGGGATTTAGCTCAGTGGTTCTGTTGCCTGCCTCGCAAGCACGAGGACCCGAGTTCGATCCCCGGTACCAAAAAAAAGAAGAAAAAGAAAGAAATGCAGAGTCTCAGGCCCTGTCCTGGCCCAGGTAGGTTGGGGGTCTGAGGGGGGTAGCCTGTGGCTTACAGATTTCCAGGTGATTCGATGTGTTCCAACGCTGTCACTGTGCTCTTGACAAAGCCTCCAGGCTGACCAAGGAGTGGGGACCAGCTGCAGGGCATGGACGACCCTGCAGAGAAGCCATGTGCACCGGGTTGAGCTAAGGATGCCTGGCTTGAGAGGCACTCGGGCCAGTCTGGTGTGTCTTTCCAGTGCCACCATCTTGGAGGACAGGATCGGCCATGACCAACGGACCATGCACCGAAGGGAAGTGGCTGTGGATCCACACAGGGAGGGACTCCCGCACCCTGGAGGAGGCGTGCGTGGTGTGAGGTCTCGGCGTACAGCGCCCCCGAGTCCTGCTGGCTGGAAGTTGGGCAAGGAAGGAGGTAGCCCCGAAGAAGGGCTGGATGGGTAGGGACCGGCAACAGCACAGCCCTGGCTCACCAGGCTGGCGACGCAACAGCTGTGACGCAGGACACTCTTGACGTCCACCTCCCGCCTACACTGCACAGAGTACCCGAGGCCGATGGCATCAGAGGTAGGTGCAGTTTGTATCCCTGCTTTGCACATGAGGAAAGGACTAAACTGGCTGAGTCTTCACCAGCACATTTCATCCCCTGCTCTATGAAACATGAGAACACGTCCTGTGGGTTTTGTGCTGTGGGAAGTGGAGAAGTGGATGGAGAACGCTGCCCTCCTGGGCCTTCCCTGGGCAGCAGGAGCGGGTGGTGGAGGGGGAGGCTGTGCACCTGCTCTGAAGGGGCCTGGGGCACAGCCAGGCCATCTTGAGTTGGGAGGCGACCCTGGAGCGCCGGGAGGGGCAGACAAGGTTATCACAGGTCCTCGGAGAGGAAAGAGGACAAGTGCTGTGGGTCACAGCTTTGAACACGGAGGAGGGGCCACAGCCGCACAATGCAGGTTTCCTTGGGTGGAACATGAGCCTCCAGGAGCCAGCCAGCCTGCTCACTCGTGTGCGTGTGCGTGTGCGTGCACGTGTGCGCGCATGCACACTTGGTACTAGGAATTGAGCCCAGGGTATTCACACAGAGCCATACCCACCAGTTATAGTTGTCCTGTCTGGACGTGAACTAGCAATCCTCCTGCCTCAGCCTCCCAGAGTGCTGGGATTATAGGCCTGTGACACCTGGCCTTGTCTGCCTGGTGAGACCCATGTGGGACTTCTGTCCTCCAGAAACACCTGGTAACTCATGGGGCCATCATCACAGCGGCAGGACACTGGTTCCCCAGCCCTACCCCCGAGAGAACCCCGCTTTCTGCACCCTGGGCTCCCAGTGCCTCCCTATCCTCTGCCTCCCATTCCCCCGTGCATCTGCACCCGACAGGTACCACGAGCTCCTGGAGGCGGGGACTGGAGTTGGCCACTTCCCGGGGTGCTGAAATGGAGGCTCAGGTGCCGGGAGCCCTGCGGGGCAGCGGGTGGGCAGAGGGGCGGCAGCCACACACCAGGAGGAGGTGCAGGAGAAGCCACTGTGAAGCAGGCGCTGTGTCCCACAGCGGGGACGGAGCAAATTCCGGGCCGGGCCCGGCCCTCCCCTCACCAGTGAGCCTGTGGGTCCTCTCCCCTCTCCTCTCCTCCCCATGCCCGCGTGCCAAGGACAAAGCCTGTGGCATGGAGAGCAGATGCAGTCCCTGGCCATACCAAGAAGTCACGCAAGTGAGTTACTGAAAGCAACCATTAGGAGTACTGTGGAAAAAAGGA